TGTCAACAAACATTCACGTAAACTTTTCAATAAAGGAAAGATAAAACGAAGATCGCAATAAGTCCTTTCCGATCGGCTTTGATAAGTGTGCCATACCAACGCTCGACGCCAACTGAGATTCGATTATTATATATTGTCCATTAAACAATTCTTTCATAAAAATATACACTCCTATATAATAAGGCTCTACATCGTCATAATTTCATTATAAACCAAAACGTAGTGAATTCATTTTGTTTAAACGCCAAGAAGTACTTAGAATTCGCGTCTTCTTCAATTATAGTTGAAAAAAAGTTATGGCATCAATCTAAGTTACCAACCAAGACAATGCATGGTATAGAATATTGGATACAAATTAAAAGATTACATGAGAAAAATGAATTTCAAGGTAATATTTCGCCGTCGCCTGGATAGATCCCGGCGAAACAGATGGATTCACTGGCTTCTGACATATTTCATGTGAATGTGGGGGTAATTAACAATTATAAACAATCAAAATATAATAGTAGTATAAAGTTTAGATACAAAAAAAAGGGGGAAAAACTCGATCGATCAGAGTAACTATTATTTTAAAAGATCGAAATATTCTAACAACCTTTATAAAAAAAAAGAAGAAATATTCTAACAAAGATATATACACAAATATACGTTTTAAAAAAATAAAATAAAATAATTGTAGAAATAGGAAAATTCATGGTGACTGCCTCAATGGTGAGAACGGTTCATGCACCTTTGATTTGTCTAGAAGCGCCTTTGTTCACGATTCGTGGGTCCGATATTGCACCGATATGTGACACGTGTACTTCTTAAAAAAGATCTGGATGGTCGATCTAAACAGTGTGTAATCACTTCGTGAATCGACGGTCAATAATATGACTAAATATGTACGATTTTTCCATTCATCAGCTAAATGAATACATTTTTCTTAGTTTCGATCTCTTGCGATCGAGTTGCTATATTGATTTCAGACAAAGTCAATATATAAGACCAACTGGTTTATACAAAAGTAGCATTGTAACTTTAACGTAAAAAATCTATATAGTTAAACAAAATGACATGCGTAAAATAAATATAAATATCCAATGCATGGAAGGTTAATTATATGTGTCATGTGTGTGTGTAAAATTTAGGAGGGTGAAAAGTAGAGGAAGGAAAACAAAGTACTG